GCAGCAAAAACCTTCCCAGTCAGAGGAACGATCTTTCCTCCCGCCATGGAATCGTGCAGGACGACCTTGCAGCCTCTTCCGCTCCAATTGTTCAGCCCATCTCCAAAGTTAGGGTTCAGGATTATGTTCTCGTCTTCCTTAGAGTGATGCTAGATTGGGACAAGACATGAAAACAGGTGTTAAAAACCTAGAAATCTGAGCAATGTCTGTAAAATGAATTGCAGAAAGTTCAATAGCAGGAACCCTAAGGAAGATTAGGAATCAAGAACAAACCTTGTCATCACCGCTTGCATTGTTCATCTCAGGCTTATCCATATCTCACCCTCTTGATATCTGAAAATAGGATCAAACCCGTTTCAGATCAGAGAGAAACTCGAAAAGGGTATCGACTAAAAAGTCGAAAAGTTCGACAAGTTTTCAGCTTTTTTCAGTACCTGAAGTATGTTATGAACTTGTTGGTGATGCAAAGATGGTTAATCTCTGTGTTATATATGCACCAATTTGGGAAAAGAGATTCGGAGAATTTCAAGTAAAGTACAAGAAAAGGAGTGGGATTTGTCATTAGAAGAAGATAACAGAGAAAACCGCAATTGCTTTGCCTTGCAGAATGAGCTAAGCCCAGAAAATTGCTGTCGAATGCTTGAATTATAATAGAAGATTTCAATGTCCTAATTAAACCAAAAATTAAAAAAAAAAAAAGAATTTGGGAATGAAAGCTCGAGTTCAGGGTTCATTTTCTTGATCTTTGTGGTGATTGGTGAAGCCGTAGATTGCAAGGAAACCTTTTAGGGGTTGGAGGCGGTTAATCTCTCTCCGGTTTACGTTAACCGAACCGAAAATAGTCTCTTCTCATTCCGGTTTGCGTTTGATTCTATGCACACAACTCTTTACCAAGCAAGTGAAAAGTAAAGACTTTTCGAGTTGCACACCGTGCTGTTTCGTGACTTGATAATAGAACTGCGTGACGGTGTAGTTAATGTGTACCATATTTGATCTTCTGTATTATATTTATACATACATACATACATATATATATTATGTATTATTTTTAATGCGGCTTATTTTCTCTCTCTCTCTCTCAAGTTCGTAAAATTTATTAAACCATATTTTCTATTTTAAATTTTGTAATACTTTAGTGATAATATTATTGGTTTTTTAATCCGTCCCATATACATGGACTACAATTTCTCTTCTAATAACTAAAAATAATAAAATTACCTTTAATATATAAAGTATAAAATTTAGGTTCTTAAATGTTTTTTAGATATCCAAAATCACCCCCCCCCATTATTAAACATAAGTTTTTCCATTTGTACACCAATAATGACGAATCTTGATTGACGAACGAAAAATAAAAAACAGGGAGGGTCTATATCGGAAACTTCAATTTTATTAATCGTTATAATTGAACATAGGAAAACACAACAGCAAAAAAAAAATAAAATTCACAAGTTCTGATGAATCCGCATCCTTGGCATCTGACCAGCGACGTCGACTGGATCGGTAACTTGTGCCGCAAGTAGACGGTTGAAACCTAATGCTTGTTGCTGCGGAGGAACAATGAATCTGGGTCGTCGTCAGTTCCTGTCGTTCTGCGGATTCTGCAGAGAACCGTCTCTTGGAAGCCCTCTGATTCCAACCAAAACTCCTTTATCGGCCACTCGGTCTTTATCTTATTAAAGAAGCAAGTCTTGCCCCGTTGTTACAACAAAGGAAAGAAGATCAATCTGTTATAGCAACGGGGCAATACCTGCTCCCTTAATAACGTCCGAACAAGAACTTATCCTCCTTCCACCTTCCAGGAACTCGAGATTGCGGGTGTGGCCTACGAGGTTGTTCCGTGATCGTAGATGTGTTCCACTGCGTTATTACCCCCTCCAAGTTCCGCCGCCTTCTGTTCCGACCACTCTCCGGTTCTGTCTCGTCTCCGTCCGGCAAAGTAGTACCAGGCGTTCTTCTCGAGAAAAGGGTGTCTGGTTACGTGCGGATGAAGCCAGGGTTCGAGTCCGTACAGATCCATCTCCGGTATGATCGATGCTGTTGAATCCTCCTGCTTCGGTCTTCTGCCTCAGATGGCTGGTGAGATCTAAGTCCGTCAGGTTAAACCGGAACCCGGGTTTCACTGACATTTTCCGATGGTCGACGATGATGATCAACAGCAAAATCTCAGAAACTTCCTCTCCCTTGATCTTGATCTTGATCTCGATATCTCTCTCTTTGCTGTGAATTGAAAGAGGGTATAATAGGGTGTATATATAGCCCAAGTATACAGCGTGGATACAAAGATGGATTCCTAGATTTTAGGGATACGATAGAGTCAATAAAAAGGAAATCTACTCGTAACGTCAAGAATTGAAAGAAAAGGGAACAAGGAGAGATTTCTTTCACACGTTAATTAATATATGATCTTTGATGAGTTGCTAATATTTCACACATTTATTATACGCATGAAAAATCAATAATTAAATTTTTTAAAACTAATTTTTTCAAATTCGGTATCTCACTTTTTTGTTTTCAAAAGAACACTAGATATATCACAATCATCACTTGAAAATTATCTTTTTTGTATTTTTTTTATACTAATTAAAACGTTCGTGCAATTCACTCAACCATAATCGGGATTTAATGTTTCAACCATAATCGGGACACACAAGATTGGATAAAATTAGAAATGAGATTATTAGAAAGAAAATAGGAGTAATAGGTATCGAAGAGAAGATAAGAGAAGGGCGTTTAAGATGGTTTGGTCATGTACAACGTAGGCCGATTGATGCACCGGTTAGAAAAGTGGAGAGTATAGGTATAGGGGTGAGAAAGAAAGGACGAGGAAGACCTAGGCTTACTTGGGAGCGGGTCATTAAAAACGATTTGAAAATGTTGCAGATTCCGAAAGAGTTAACCCGAGATCGAAATGAGTGGAGAAGAAGGATTCATGCGGCCGACCCCAAATGAACTTGGGAATAAGGCCATGTTGTTGTTGTTGTTGTTGTTGTTAAAAAGATAAAAAAAAACACTCAACTTTTCAATTTTGATTAAAAAACACTGAAATTTTTATTTTAACAAATAAATATTAAACTTTTTAAACTAATCTAAAAAAATACTAAACTTTTTAAATGTTCTAAAAAAATATATAAACTTTTCTACATTTATCAAAAAAATATTAAACTTTTTTAGTGATCCAAAAGAATATATAAATTTTCTATAAAATAATCTGACGTATTTACACTAATATCTCTTTAAAAAATATTTTTTTCCACAAATTTTAGAAAATTTTGAATAAAATTGTATAATGCCCCATAAAATTAATATTATTTATAATAAAAATAAAATTGGTCCCTCTTAACTAATTTTCTAGATCCGTCACTGATGATTGTAGAAAGAGTTAAATATTTGTTTTATCAAATTTAAAAATTTTAATATTTATTTGATAAAATAAAATTTTCGAATTTTCCCTTTACAAAAATATACAATATACAATATGCATAAATGAAATACAAGAGGCCCAAAATAGAGGCCCAATGACATAAAACCCAACAAACAAACAAACAAAAACAACACCTTCAAAATCCAATCCCAAACCTTGAGGCTCATATTCATCATCCGCTTCACAGATAAAGAGAGAGAGAGAGAGATCGGAAAATGTCGGTTTCGGCGATATTCGGCACCGGAATCACCGCCGTAGCTCCGCCTCTCGCCATCGGATTCCGGCGGAAGAGTATGGGAAGCGGTGGAGGAGCGACGGCGATAGAGTGCTCGTCGCGGCCGCAGAAGAAAGCGACGAAGCATCACATGAAGTCGAGGCCGAAAAAGACGCAGCCATGGGACGTGAAGAGGAAGCCCACCGTCTACTCTCCTTTGCCTCCTCTCCCTCCGGACTACACCCTCCTCTCCGGTGAATCCTCCGCCGCTGAAGCTGCCGCCAGGGAATCTCCTTTGTCCTCCGCCGCCTCCTGATTCGACCCTCTGTTGTCGGTCTCTGTTGACACTCTGTTTGCTGTTTTCCCTTTCGATTATGTGAGGCTTTCTGCTGAAATTTTCTGTATGGTTTTCTGGGTCTGTGTTTTCTTGGTGGATTGACGATGAATTTGCTTTGAGAATTTCTGGATTTTGTTTTCTTGATTTTGTATTCCTCGGTGAAGCTAACCGGTAATTTGGTCCGGATGATTGTGTTCTGAGGGAGTTTTTATCCATACATAACCGGTTCGATAACCGATCAAAACCAAACTGGATTCCGGTTCGGTTTAGAGATTTTGTGGGAAACCATAAGACGAGCCGCTGTTGTAAAAGGAGGATTGGCTTTTTCCGTTTGAAGCTGATATGGAAGTTATCGGACATTGGTGTAAAAAATTGCAGGATAATTCCTAGATTTACACTACAAAGTTTGTGTCTAAATAAAATTAGAACCCGAATAAAATTTAAGAAAATAGAAATGTGATCATAAAAATAAATATTTTCTCGTATACTTGAGGTTATTATTAGTCTAATGAGATCTTAAAAGCATATTGATAATTAATATATTTATATGGAATAAAAAGATTGATGCATTTATATTGAGAGTTTTTTTTGAAAATATGATGTCAAGACATTTCTAAAATTTAAACCACGTGACTTGTGCCCTCGTTTGAACCCATAATATTGGTGCCATATCCATATACAAATGCCCTATTGACTTAGGTGGAACTTTCATCTACATATGAATATGTATTCAAACAAATATCTTTTTTTTTTTCATTTGAAACGAATGATTAATCATATGATTTACAGTGTTTTCAAATAAAGATTTCACCCAAAATCTAAACAAATAGAGATAGAGAATTAATGCATATTCACTGTAAAAGTTGGTGTATTTTGTCAATTTTATTTAAGAGTTGTTGATTTTTTTCTGGAATTTTCTTATTATTAATATATTATCTTGCTAATTTCCTACCACCGTTTGCTTAGTCATAACTCATAACTAACTTAGATCAATAAAGACATGAGATTCGTGTGCGTATGTACATTTGTTCTTTTTCTTTATGGTAGTATTCTTTTAGTTGCACTTAATTTCAAATATCATCATCGTCATTATTTACGAATAATAACTAAATTTAAAATTCGACAACAAAATTATTATGTGAATCCCAAGTAAATTAAATGAATAATATATAATTGATTTCCGAGTTTTAATACACCGAGAAAACCATTTAAATGAGGCTCAAAAATCATTGAGGGGTCTTCTTCCATCATTTATTTAGTTTATTAATGCATAGTTAATTTAATTAAAGCGAGTTTTGAATTCATTGAACAGTAATCACTTCAATTAGTGAAATTACAAACTATAAAAATGATGGTAATGTGCTTCCAACAATCACATCAGCAATACAAATTTCGGATCGAGCAGATTGGTGTTTGGGAGTGCTGAAGTTCAGAGATCCAATTGGTGAAGAGGTTTGTCATCCGAATTTATTTTGTTCTATTAATTATTATTATTAATTATTAATGTTCTTGGTCCGATTCGATTTCTTGTGATATATTTTGTTTATAGCAATCTATATTGGTTAGATTGTATGTATATACACATGGATTCTTTTTCTGTACCGATTTTATTTATTTTTCTATTTTTTGTTGACTAACTGTTTGATATATATATATATATATGTATATATGTGTGTATATACACGTATGCATGTGCGGGTGTGTGGTGCAATGCGCAGTTATTCCTTTCACGATTCACACGAAAAGGGGAGTATGATTTCCATATTGAGGAGAAAGTTAAAAAAATTATATTCGGTAATATTATTCTTGCATTTCATAATGGTTTGGACGGTGATTCACACTTGGTCTCTATGCATGTATTATGTGTATATTGTACGTGTTTTATATAAGGAAATACTAATTATGTACGTAACAACAGTAGACGTATAATTTTATTAAGTAAATATATTATGTTCTAAGTAGCTAGCAAAACTTATATTAATGTCCGTATTAAAATTTTGTTTCCAGGTACAAATTATTTATGTATGTAACCGGACTGGGTATTTAGGAATATATTCTGATTAATATTAAATACAAATTAAAAGCATAACGGCACCTTTACCCGTTTGTGTCTTAATCGGTTTACTTAGATGCTCGACGCAAAAAAAAAAAAAAAAAAAGAATGGTAAACGTCCGATCAAGGGTGAGATTGGAATTTTTATTTCAATTTAGAGATAGTATTTCTATAATCACGGTTGATTATTAGTTCTAATAGTTAAGCCAGTTACGTCATGCATTATATATCCAAAAAATGAACAATTGTTTATTTTGATTATAGCGAACAAATATTTGATAAAGACTTTGACCCCGATTTTCATTTTTAGTGTAAGACTCGACCCCCTTGTTTCTCCCCAAAATATCATGTCGGTCCACCATTCCACATTTTGAAAGAGAATGGATATCTGTATATACTGTATATATATATATGAAAGGAACATTCCTTGATCACACATCTCTCCAAGCATAGAATCTTATCACATAGCTGACTTTCTCTCTCTAACCTCTCTCTTTCCGATCTTCATAAAAGCTGTAACTGAGTCTCCATGAATTACAGAAACTTAGCAGAGATTTTCTGCGTGAAGCCCAGATCGAGAACGAAGACAATGGAGGGAGAGATCCAGAGATCAGCCGCGGGCAAGGTGACGACCATTCATGGAGAAGTGGTCGTGATGAAGAAGAACGTTCTCGACTTCAAAGACGTCATGGCCTCTGTTCTCGACCGTGTTCATGAGCTACTCGGCCGTCGTGTCTCAATCCAGCTCGTCAGCTCCGTCCAACCCGACCCAGGTTCTCTAAAACCCGACCCGTGTATATATTTAGATCAAGTGTATAATGGACCAGAAGTTAGGGTTTAGGGGCTTCTTTTTACTGACCGCGATCTGAAACTTCACAGGAAATGGGCGGAGAGGGAGGCTTGGAAAGGCCGCACACTTGGAGAAGTGGGTGACGAAGATCAAATCGGCGGTGACCGCCGAGGAAACCGCGTTTGCAATCGCGTTTGAGTGGGACGAGTCGATGGGGACGCCGAGTGCGTTTGTGATAAAGAACCACCACCGAAGCCAGTTCTTTCTCAAGTCTGTCACTCTCCATGAGGTTCCCGGTGGCTCCGGGCCTGTCCACTTTGTCTGCAACTCTTGGATCTATCCTTGGCACCGATATGGTTATGATCGTGTCTTTTTCTCCAACCAGGTAACTAATTTTATTTACATTTCTCTAGCTATGTCTGTTAGTGTTTTGGTACAGTAGTTGTTATATGATCTTAAACAAGGCGGAGATGTCAGTTTCTTCATCTTATATTATGATTTTGTAGGGGAAAATATGAGTGTTGTTGGACCCACTAATATTGAACGTCTTACCAAAGAAACTTGTGTGGTTCCTTTGGCCTCCATTATTCTATCATATTCTTTTTGGGTAATTATTGTATGACTTTGTGTCGTCTTTTACAGACAATAATCAGTATCCATCTGAAATTCCAGCTCGGATTGGCCTTCTTGGTGAATGAATCATGACCGCTTTATAATCGTTGTTTAATATGTTTTTTTTTCTTGTAAAAATCAGGCATATCTCCCGAATGAAATGCCGGAGTTGTTGAAAGAAATTAGAGAAGATGAGTTGAAAAATTTGAGAGGAAATGGCAACGGAGAACGCAAGGAATGGGACAGGGTTTATGATTATGATGTTTTCAATGATTTGGGATCTCCGGACAAAGGTCAAGACTCTGCTCGTCCTGTCCTCGGCAATTCGCTTGAATATCCTTATCCTCGACGATGTCGAACCGGTCGTAAACCTACCAAAGTTGGTCAGTATATCAAAGCTTGAAATGTTTGTATTTAACCTAGAGTTTACTTAGGTTAATTTTTGTATTGCACAATATATAACATAATGCATGTAAGCTGATTTTATATCGACTATTCACCTTGTTATCATTATACCGACAGATTCAAAGTCGGAGAGTAGACTTCCGCTGCTAAGCCTGGACATATACGTCCCTCGGGACGAAAGATTCAACATGGTGAAGTTCTCCGACTTCATTGCTTACGCTCTTAAATCTGTGACCCAAGTCATCGTCCCGGAAATCGGTTCTCTTTGTAGCAAGAATATGAATGAGTTCGATAGTTTCGACGATATTTTTAGTCTTTACGAAGGTGGTATTAAACATCCTGATGCTCATGTCATCTCCAAAATTCGTGATCTGCTTCCATGGGAGATGTTCAGAGAGCTCGTACGTAATGATGGTGACCAGTTTTTGAAGTATCCAATGCCCAGTATCATCAAGGGTAAAAATAATAAATTTATTTACCAGTGGATTATTGGTTTATCTGTAGTGACCATACGGGTGTTTTGCAGAGAGTAGGTCTGCTTGGAGGTCTGATGAGGAGTTTGGTCGGGAAATGATTGCCGGTCTAAATCCACTTGTCATCAGACGTCTCCTGGTCTTGCATTAATCTTGTCATTTCTCCTTTTATGTTATTTTCACACATGGTGTCTTTGCTAAGATTCAATTAAAAAATATACAGGAGTTTCCTCCAGTAAGCAAGTTGGATTCAAATGTGTATGGAAACCAACACAGTTTCCTACGGGAAGAAGACGTCGAGATCAACATGGATGGTCTCACCATTGATGAGGTACTATACTCAATTCTCTATCTTCCCGATTATTGTTATTTTTATGATGTAACCTTTTATCTTGGCAGGCATTGAAACAAAACAAACTATACGTTTTGGATTACCATGACTCATTGATGCCATATCTAAGACGGATTAATTCGACTGGTGCAAAATTATATGCAACTCGGACCGTGCTGCTCCTTAAAGATGATGGGATTCTGATGCCTTTGGCCATAGAGTTGAGTCTTCCGCACCCGCAAGGCGAAAAACATGGAGCTGTCAGCAAAATCTTCACACCGGCTGCTAAAGGAGTTGAGGGTTCGATTTGGCAGCTCGCTAAGGCTTACGTTGCAATCAATGATTCTGGTTATCATCAGCTCATTAGCCATTGGTAACACCAATCAAAATCTTGATTTGAAACCAAATTGAAATAAGCATAAGTGTGTTGATTGATCTATTTTTTCCCTCTTCAGGTTGCACACTCATGCTACTATGGAGCCTTTCATTATCTCGGCAAACAGACAATTGAGCGTGGTTCATCCGATCTACAAACTTCTGCATCCTCATTTTCGTGACACCATGCAGATCAATGCATTGGCCCGTCATATCCTTATCAACGCTGATGGTGTGCTCGAAAGAACTGTATTCCCGGGCAAATTCTCTATGGAATGGTCTTCTTCGCTTTATCGGAATTGGGTTTTCACTGATCAAGCTCTTCCTG